TGGATCAGAGAGGTTATCACTGATTAGTAGAGAAGAGCTTGTATTAGTCAGAGGCCCTCCCTTATCCGTCTCACTGCTTTTTATCCTGCTCCAGACCAGCTGTGGCGGGCCACCATGGCAATTAACTGAACATCTGCTTGATCTTTTTCTAGCTTGTTTCCTCACACTTATAGACGAAAACATTAGTCACAAGTGTGGTACAGCCTTTAAAGGGGCCCTATTCTGCTGATGGGTACTAAAGGGTACTCTTCCTTCTTGTTGTGACTCCAGATTTCAGAACAATGCTGCCTTCATGTGGTCATTTTTTAAAGGGGCCCTGTCCTGCTGATGTTCAGGTGTAAATCAGTATGTAGTGTCTCTACTTTAAAGAGTCCTCTCCTGCTGATGTTCAGGTGTAAATCAGTATGTACTGTCTCTACTTTAAAGAGTCCTCTCCTGCTGATGTTCAGGTGTATATCAGTATGTAGTGTCTCTACTTTAAAGAGTCCTCTCCTGCTGATGTTCAGGTGTATATCAGTATGTAGTGTCTCTACTTTAAAGAGTCCTCTCCTGCTGATGTTCAGGTGTATATCAGTATGTAGTGTCTCTACTTTAAAGAGTCCTCTCCTGCTGATGTTCAGGTGTATATCGGTATGTAGTGTCTCTACTTTAAAGAATCCTCTCCTGCTCATGTTCAGGTGTATATCAGTATGTAGTGTCTCTACTTTAAAGAGTCCTCTCCTGCTGATGTTCAGGTGTATATCAGTATGTAGTGTCTCTACTTTAAAGAGTCCTCTCCTGCTGATGTTCAGGTGTATATCAGTATGTAGTGTCTCTACTTTAAAGAGTCCTCTCCTGCTCATGTTCAGGTGTATATCAGTATGTAGTGTCTCTACTTTAAAGAGTCCTCTCCTGCTGATGTTCAGGTGTATATCAGTATTTAGTGTCTCTACTTTAAAGAGTCCTCTCCTGCTGATGTTCAGGTGTATATCAGTATGTAGTGTCTCTACTTTAAAGAGTCCTCTCCTGCTGATGTTCAGGTGTATATCAGTATGTAGTGTCTCTACATTAAAGAGTCCTCTCCTGCTGATGTCCAGGTGTATATCAGTATGTAGTGTCTCTACTTTAAAGAGTCCTCTCCTCCTGATGTTCAGGTGTATATCAGTATGTAGTGTCTCTACTTTAAAGAGTCCTCTCCTGCTCATGTTCAGGTGTATATCAGTATGTAGTGTCTCTACTTTAAAGAGTCCTCTCCTGCTGATGTTCAGGTGTATATCAGTATGTAGTGTCTCTACTTTAAAGAGTCCTCTCCTGCTGATGTTCAGGTGTATATCAGTATGTAGTGTCTCTACTTTAAAGAGTCCTCTCCTGCTGATGTTCAGGTGTATATCAGTATGTAGTGTCTCTACTTTAAAGAGTCCTCTCCTGCTCATGTTCAGGTGTATATCAGTATGTAGTGTCTCTACTTTAAAGAGTCCTCTCCTGCTGATGTTCAGGTGTATATCAGTATTTAGTGTCTCTACTTTAAAGAGTCCTCTCCTGCTGATGTTCAGGTGTATATCAGTATGTAGTGTCTCTACTTTAAAGAGTCCTCTCCTGCTGATGTTCAGGTGTATATCAGTATTTAGTGTCTCTACTTTAAAGAGTCCTCTCCTGCTGATGTTCAGGTGTATATCAGTATGTAGTGTCTCTACTTTAAAGAGTCCTCTCCTGCTGATGTTCAGGTGTATATCGGTATGTAGTGTCTCTACTTTAAAGAGTCCTCTCCTGCTGATGTTCAGGTGTATATCAGTATGTAGTGTCTCTACTTTAAAGAGTCCTCTCCTGCTGATGTTCAGGTGTATATCAGTATGTAGTGTCTCTACTTTAAAGAGTCCTCTCCTGCTGATGTTCAGGTGTATATCAGTATGTCGTGTCTCTACTTTAAAGAGTCCTCTCCTGCTCATGTTCAGGTGTATATCAGTATGTAGTGTCTCTACTTTAAAGAGTCCTCTCCTGCTGATGTTCAGGTGTATATCAGTATTTAGTGTCTCTACTTTAAAGAGTCCTCTCCTGCTGATGTTCAGGTGTATATCAGTATGTAGTGTCTCTACTTTAAAGAGTCCTCTCCTGCTGATGTTCAGGTGTATATCAGTATTTAGTGTCTCTACTTTAAAGAGTCCTCTCCTGCTGATGTTCAGGTGTATATCAGTATGTAGTGTCTCTACTTTAAAGAGTCCTCTCCTCCTGATGTTCAGGTGTATATCAGTATGTAGTGTCTCTACTTTAAAGAGTCCTCTCCTGCTCATGTTCAGGTGTATATCAGTATGTAGTGTCTCTACTTTAAAGAGTCCTCTCCTGCTGATGTTCAGGTGTATATCAGTATTTAGTGTCTCTACTTTAAAGAGTCCTCTCCTGCTGATGTTCAGGTGTATATCAGTATGTAGTGTCTCTACTTTAAAGAGTCCTCTCCTGCTGATGTTCAGGTTGTATATCAGTATGTAGTGTCTCTACTTTAAAGAGTCCTCTCCTGGCTCATGTTCAGGTGTATATCAGTATGTAGTGTCTCTACTTTAAAGAGTCCTCTCCTGCTGATGTTCAGGTTGTATATCAGTATTTAGTGTCTCTACTTTAAAGAGTCCTCTCCTGCTGATGTTCAGGTGTATATCAGTATGTAGTGTCTCTACTTTAAAGAGTCCTCTCCTGCTGATGTTCAGGTGTATATCAGTATTTAGTGTCTCTACTTTAAAGAGTCCTCTCCTCCTGATGTTCAGGTGTATATCAGTATGTAGTGTCTCTACTTTAAAGAGTAACAGAGTGATATAAACTCCATCTGGAGGGAACAGTCTTGTGAATGTGGTATCCTAGCAACACTTGGCATTATCTTTTTTATGTTATTCTTTTCAAAACCCATTTTGGCATTGTTGTCTTTTCAGGAGAGAATAAAACTACCTTGACCATGAATTATATATATTCTGTAGACCTAGGGCCTCATTTATAAAGCCTTGCCTAGGATTCACGTGGGAAGGTTACGTATAGGACAAAGCAAATAAATACGCAAAGACATTTTCCGATTCATAAAAGACTGCGTACGTGATTCTTCGTGCGTGTGGCACGTCCTACGCCGGTTTCCCTAAATAAATCTTCATATATGATAAATGAGAGGTAACATTTTATTCATGGTATTATTTCCACATATTTCTCTCCATTCCTCCTTCTGCCAACGGTGTCGCAGTTTCTCGTCTCTCCCGTTTTTGTGCTCAGTGCGTATGCTGAGTCAGCGATAACTTTCGAGGGGGCCTCGAAAAATATGCCCATTATTTTGAGTTCGTCCGAAGAATAGACAGGAATGTTACGGTGAGGTGCAAACTGTGTCCAGGCCAGAAGCTGTTATCCACTGCTGTAAACACCACGTCAAACCTCAACAAACACCTGCAAAGAACACATGCTAAGGTGAAGCTAATAGCTAAGGACCCCCGAACCCAGAGTGAGGATGTTGTGAGTGCGCCGCCGCCGACCCCGAAGCAACAGAAATTAGAATTTGGAGGACCGGTAACCAAAGCAGAGATGGACAGGCTTGTAGCATCCTTCATAGTAGAGGAAATGTTGCCCATTTGCACAGTAGAATCACCATCGTTCAGAGATATACTGCGCAAAATACAGATAGCAGGAGACAGAGGACAGCCATGGTCAGATAGGAAAACATTCAGGAGCTATCTGGATCAGTCTTATCAGAGCTATCTGGATCAGACAATGGAAACTGAACTTGAGAGAACATTTGAAACTTTAGCAGTCTGCGTGATCTGCCTGTAGGGGCGGGCCGGCCCTGCGACTAAAGTAATGAGTAAAGTAACGAGTTTATGTACGAGTGTAACGAAGTAGTGTAATATACTTTTTTTTTAAAAAAGTAATTTGTAATATATTACTTTTTTTTAGTAACGACCCCATCTCTGCATATACACTAACGTAAAAGTGTATGATACAGGATGTAAACTGCATATTGCCAAAAGCTTACCCTGAATATTAAACATTAACTGCATACAGTGCATTTTTTTAACCGGTATAGACATAATGTGTGCACATAGCAGTGTGCAATGTGCAAACAAATAAAAGATATAAATGATAGTGCATGGTTATATAAAGTGTATAGTAGTTTAAAATTGGTGCAAACTTACACTCTTAAGACCAGGGGTGTCAAACTCAAGGCTCGGGGGCCAAATCCGGCTCGCGAATTCATTTTCTGTGGCCCCATAAGAGCTTGCAAAAAATATTATATGTTTATTATAGGGTTACATGCTACTTTACAGAAGCACGTTGCCCTTAAACTACATGTCCCACAATGCATCTGAAATTTGACTTTTTTTCTCAGATTTTTTTTTTCAAAATATGCCTTTTTTCTTAGAATTAGGTTTTTTTTCTCCAAAATGTTGCTTTTTTCCAAAATATCAATTTTTGCCCCAAAGTTGTTTTTTTTCTTTCAGAATTTGGCTTTTCTTTTTAAATCATTTATGACATTCTCACCGGCCCTTTGAGTGCAACCATAATGCTGATGTGGCCCGTGATGAAATTGAGTTTGACACCCCTGCTTAAGACCAATAAACTGCAACATGCACAATATTATAGCATACTGTATAATAGTTAATGAAACGGACTCTCAACTCAAATGTATTGCTATACTTCCAAAAAACTGGAGTGACCAGAAATGAAGTAGCATGAGGATTGTTGTTAAAAAGCATGTTGAACATTTTATGTTTATAAAGCAGATTAGAGATTATAGTACATGTTTGTAATGCATTATAGACATGAGATTGTAGAAAGTGTTACTAATATTTCACAGCAACTATTTTAAAAGTCATTTGTACACAAACTTAATACAACCTGGATATACAATTCTTCCTTTTGATACTAGGATTATTATGAAAAACAGATTATTTAGTGTCCTAATAGAAGCAACCACTGATTTGGTCAATGTGGAAACTCAAATGAACACTTTGTTATGTTTGGTTTGTGATGCAGTAGTGGGAAAAGGGAATGCTTCCTACCTTACTATCCTTGACCGGCTGACAGTCAATCTGATGAGAGACGGATGCAGTTTGGTTCATCTTCACTCCTCGTCGTTTTCTTCGTTCTTCTGATCAAATAAGATCCCAAGTGATGATGATAGCACTGATAATCCTGGTCATTATTGTATCTTCACCATAGGCGATGCATTCAAACATCAATCTTCTTTCTCTCTGGAAATGAATGCTCTCCTCTCTTCTCTTCTCTCTCTTCTTCTTCTTCTCTCTCACTGTGTGCTGCTGACAGACAGTTCATAAAACCAGGATGTTTGCCAGCGTGCCTCCCACGTACCATGTTTCTTCATCAGAATGCAAATGTGCTCCAGGCAAAAGTATTTCGCAGGCGTTTGGTTTGAGCCTCTTTACGTGTGAAGATAGCGTCAGTGTCTTACAGCAGCAGGAGATCTTTTGGACAGATGAATGAACGGTGTGAGCTCCAACTTCAGAAATCACTGTGTTAGAAAAGAGTATGTTGGAGGAAAACATCATATATTTGACACTATTTTAAAATTCATTTATTGGTTTGTCTATACATGTGCTTTGTTCATAACATAACATTATTCACGGGCAGGATGACACAAAAGAAACACCGTATTCTCTTAATCTGAAATCTGAAATCATTAATTAAAGATATTTTAAGACAAGGAGAAACAGAAAAAATTGATACAAAATAATAAAGCCTACATAAAGAAATACAAATATGTATAAAGGAAGACAGCCCAAATAATTCTTAAAATAATCAGTTAAAAATACATTTAGATTCAAAATAATACATCATATTTTACTATTTTATAGGACTACAATAGTGTAGAAATACTACAAGCCCTGCTTTATCAGTATAATACTCTAAATACCGCAATAAAATCTGCACTATTTCAGAATAATACATATTATTTGTTTTACTTGATGCATTATTGTGTTCATGGCTTTAACTGCAACCGGTAAAGGTGGAGCTCATTGTATCGTCTTTATATACTGTACGGTGAATTTGCCCCCAGGAACAATAAGGACTGTTTTAGGTACTAAAGCTTTTATGTGTGCTGCTCCTCTAGCTTGGAACACTATGCAAAACAAATTGAAAACTGAGGCATTATGGTTCCCTTGCATCATTTTAAAGCTCGGATAGATGAAATGTTATTAGATATCTGTCATTGTGAATAGGTTGCTAATGTATACCCCTGTAATTATGTTGCATTGATGTCCTTTTTGTTTTCTGTTGTTTTTATGTGTAACCAATGTGCTACAGGTCTCCCTTGAAAAAGAGATTGTTGATCTCAATGGGATTTTCACCTGGTTAAATAAAGGCTACAATAACATCTCAAAACAATCATATTTATTTGTTTATTAGATTTTGCACTATTAATCTTAATCTTTTCACATTTGTGAAACAGATCTGGTGGCGTCGATAGGAATAACATTGTATTTGAATAGTCTCTGATAACACATTGTCTTAACCCTCCTATTGTCTTCGTTCCCCCCCCCCCCCCTTACTTTGGTGTTCGCGGTTCAATTTGACCGGTCCTGTTTTAACTGCTATTACATTAACACAAAAACCATTAATCATCACCAAATTTAATTCAACACCCTTTCAAACTGTACATATTGTATCAGACTACTGGTATACATGAAAAAGTGTGTGTGTGTGTGTGTGTGTGTGTGTGTGTGTGTGTGTGTGTGTGTGTGTGTGTGTGTGTGTGTGTGTGTGTGTGTGTGTGTGTGTGTGTGTGTGTGTGTGTGTGTGTGTGTGTGTGATCTGGATGGTTACTAATTCCTTTTCTTTATGGCGGTCATTGTTGACCGGGAACACCATGGTAACCACGTTACAAAGTTGACTAAATCATCCAAAATGCAATGAAAGTGGTGATCAGCAATGTTATATGTTCAAATGTCTACTGTGAAGGATATCATAAAGCCTTAATGCAATCAAATGTAAAACAAAAAAGTTATGATTGATGAAAGTAGTAAATCGGTCAGATTTGACCCGAAGACAACAGGAGGGTTAAATAAATTAACATAGTGATGATTTCAGTATGTTCAAATGATGCTCGCTTTTTAAAATAGTAAGTGCACTTAACATATTGTTACACTTTAAATCAGGGCAAACAGTTACTCAAATCTGAAGCAATCATTCATTTTGTAAGAATCATTTAAACTTTTTATTTAAGATAATAGTCTTCTGTGACAAAACATCCTATTCATGGGTACACATGTTACATCTTCATCCCTTTTCCCAGACCACTAGCTCAGTAAAATGTTCCATTCAAAATGTATGATCCTGATTCATATTTGATAAGCTGGCGATTTTCCCGTGCCACTAATAATATGTATTGTCTTTTGTTGGAAGCTATCATCGACCCTGTTTATTTTTACATTTACTGCCCTTTATTGTAATGGTGACTGTTTAATTAAGTTATATATAATATTTAAGGGTTTGTGTTCTTTAATGTAAGCCATTATGTTTGTTGCTGTGATATTCAGTAGTTATTAAATATAATTAATGTAACAATCAGGCAGGAAAAGGCCCAACATGACAACAAAATATATCTTCAAACCAATTTTATTGATTTGATTTATTTTCTTAATGACTCTAAATAATAGCTGCCGTATATATAACAATATGTAAGTGCTACTTCTGTATTTAGAGGTTATTTGTTCGCCATATGCGGCTTGAAAACTGCAGAACTTTGCTCAACATGGAACTATTATATGGGAAACAAATTAAGACGAGAAAAATTGCATTTGATGTTAATTGATATTAAGTTGGAACGCTTCATTAAGAGCAATATGTCTGACTGTGGGGAGATGAACAGCCATAATATTACATTACATTACATTGCATTTAGCTGACGCTTTTATCCAAAGCGACTTACAATAAGTACATTCGACCAGGAAGACACATAATAATTGCATACACCTCATTAGTCTCTATTTAAATGTACTTAAACTGACATGTATCATCATAAGTTCCACTAATATTTCCATTTTGTGCATTAAACATGAGTTTCCCCTTAAGTCCATTACAAAAACAGTTACTTTCAAACTGTGGTGATTTTCAGTAAGTAAGGAAATGAATCTAATCTTTAATAAGAGCAGCTAAGCAGGAAGAGATGAAGACTAATGTCTCATTGGGAAGCGTTTACACTGAATGAAACATTGCTTCTGTTCCTTGTAAATGCCACGACATTCTAATGCTTACATTTGCAGGAAAGGGTGCCTGCATTATGAGAACATTACTTGTTCTGCTTAGAGGTAAACAAAACAAACAAGGTATTATATATATATATTGACTTCGATTATTTTTGTTGATTTTAACGCAGCAACATGCCATATACTATTTTTGTTTTAAGATACACAAACATGTTTTCTGCCTGTCCCCCTTAAAATGATTTCACCCTAACTCTATCTCAGGGGTGTCAAACTCAAGGCCTGGGGGCCAAATCCGGTCCGTGACTTCACTTGATGTGGCCCCACAAGAGCTTGCAAAGATTATAATATGTTTATTATACGGTTACAGGCCGATTTACAGAAGCACGTTGCCCATAAACTACATGTCCCACAATGCATCTCAAAATATGCCTTTTTTCCTTAGAATTTGACTTTTTCTCAGAATCTGACTTTCTTTTCAAAATGTCATTTCTTTTTTTTTCTTTTGACTTTTTCTCCAGAATTTGGCTTTTCTTTTTAAATCATTTTGTGACATTCTCACTGAAGAGACTTGCAATTATTTGCTCTAGACTTCTGCTTTCAGACGTAGTTATGAAGTTATTACCCTATCCGATAATAATCCAATGCAGAGGCAATAATGTAATATAATACATTATTTATATATATTAAATATTTATATATATGTATATTTATATAGTCTTATATATAAAACCGACCCTTTGAGTGCAACCATAATGCTGATGTGGCCCGAGATGAAATTGAGTTTGACACCCCTGTGTTACGGCTGGAGGGCAAGGTACACAGGACCCAAATGCAGAATTTCCAAATCCAAAATACTTTTATTGCGGAACTAGCAACAAAGTAAAATAAGGCAAGGCAAAAACACAAAAAACCCTCTGAACAAAAACCTTCCAACAACATCAGTAATCTCACAAAGACAGACAGAAAAACCAGAACTTAAATGCACACAAGACTAATCACACAAACAAGACACAGGTGAGGAGGGAGGAGAAAACACAGGGGCACCAGGTGAACACAATCAGCTAATCGGGTAGGAGGGAACACAGAGACAGGAAGCAACAGGCAAGACAGGGGTGAACACAGAGACAGGGAAACAAAGACAGAACGTGACGCCCTGCTCTATCTGGTTTCTATATTTGTGTATTATTTTCTTAATACTTAACTGTATTCATCTCTTCAAACCGGTAATATGTACGTTAATGTTGTTAGTTAATTTGTTGTAAAGATATTTTCTTTTTTTAAATGAAAAATACAAATTTTGGATAGAAATTAAAGGTGGGGTAGGTAAATTTGAGAAACCGGCTCGAGATACACTTTGTTATATTCCATGGAATGCTCTTAACATCCCGATAGCAATGAATATCTTAAGTGACAAAATAATCCATAAAAAAAAGTCATCTGTGGAAGCCGTAGTACTGTAAAAAGCACGACCAATCATTTTAGCCGGCTCGGCTAAAATAACTGGCCTACCTGCCTGTCAGCCTTCCATCTGTGCACAAACTTATCTCGTGCCCTCATTGGTCATGTGCGCGTTTGTGTGTGTTGGAGGAGGGGCTCTGTAAGGAAGTGGCAGATTTTTTCCGGCTGTGTATTTTCAAATTCTAGCGCACTCGAGCTGGTTTCTCCAAAATGACCTACCCTACCTGTAAGATAGAAATGATCATAATAACAGTTTTTTGTTCTGTTTTAATCAAGAAATATTATAAAAATCCCACGTATGCACTCTTAATTCAGTGTAATGTAAGTAAGTATGGAAGTTGTTTCAGAAAATGCAGTTTAAGTGCTGAATGTAAAGTGGAACAAAGAGTAGGCCTATTTGAAGCACATTTTAGAAAGACGATGATCAGTTCCTGGCAGATATAAAGATATAATGATGCGAACTTTGAAATACGATGCTGGTGTAAACGGCCGTCAGACAGTCGGATGGAATAATAAAAGAGGACGTTAAAACAAACGAGGGCAGAGTGTTTAGTGCTCATGTCTTCTATCCGGGTCGTCTGCCTGGTTTCAAATGCACTCTTTAAATGGTGGAAAACAAAAGTGTAATATTACTCCACTTCCAAATGCATCCGGTACTCTAACTGAATCTATATCCAGAAGGAAAACTCAGAGGATTAAATAAACAAGACGCAATTATATGCTTTGTAAGGGTAGCAGCAGGGCCGTTTCTAGCTTTTTGGGGGCCCTATGCAAGATGCTGTTTGGGGGCCCTAGTTTTTACAGTTTTTTAACTACAATGGGGGGGGGGGGATTCCGAAGCCTTTAAGATGATCTGTGGAGATGCATCAATCTGTTACACTTTAATAGGAAAACAGGCTAATTTCACGAAAACCAAGCAATTGAATATTACAAAAAATGATATTAAAAAGGTAAACAATAAGGCTCCTCTATGTCAATAAATGCAAGAGATGCAGCATTTTCTCAACAATGTTTAATTTACATTTTTCATCTTCCTCAGACGTCACTCATTGGCTGAAAGCCCAACAATGATTTGGACTTTATTACCCCAAAAACACAAGCCACAGCTTTGCTATCATTGCAGTTTAGTCGTGTTTATATCCTACATTGGATGTGTAAGCATATAATGCTTCACCGAACACAGGAGGGGGCTTGGCTGTCTACAAAAAAAGACGGCTCATTTTAATTCTCCCCAAATATATTGAGGTTGAACCTGAACTTTGAATTCTCTGCTCCCATCATAATCTTGACGATCTTGTTAAAATTGTGAATTCAGAATTAGAAATACTATGTAACTGGTTTGCAGTTAATAAATTATCCCTTAATGTGGCCAAAACAAATTACATGTTATTCAATACAAAGTCTGAGAGTAGAAATGACTGCATTATACGGATTTGGAATACCGAGATGTAAAAAGTTTGTGCATGTACATTTTTAGGACTGCTTGTTGATGAAAAACTGAATTGGAAGCACCATATAAATTATGTACAGACTAAACTGTCAAAAACAATAGGTATTTTGTATCATACTAAGAACATTCTTGAAGAAAAATACTCTTTATAACAGTCTATTTCTCCCTTACCTTTACTACTGCTCCGAAATATGGGGAAACACGTACTCAACAAATCTACAAAAAATAATAACATCCCAAAATAAAGTATTACGAATAGTCTGTGGTGTTGGTAAATATGAACACACAACTCCCATATCTAAAAAAACTCAATATATTAAAATGTGTTGAGATAGTACAGCTTAAAACAGTACTGATTATGCACAACATTTTCCATAAGAAAATGCCTAATAACATTCAAAAGCAGTTCCAAACCACAGCGTGAACATATGAATGTAAAAAAAAGTAACTTGAAATTAAGTGTTCACAATGTTTATATGCAATTATGCATATATTATTATTATTATTATTTTTAATTTGCCAAGTACATGTGTACCTATGTATATATTTATATATAGTATTTTAATTTCCAAAAAAAGATAGTGACTGCTATTGACATGTGCAGAAAATGACCCTATATCTAGTTTTCATTTATTGTTTTCCTGCCCTAACTTTTATTTAATTTTTTCTCCTGTTTTCTTTATTTCTTTGTACTCCTTCATTTCTATACGTTTTTGACGCAATAATGCCGCTGTATTAGGATGATGCACGGGAGGGCTACTTTCCACAAGCTATGCTTCAGCCCTCCCGCTTCTACTAATTTTGTTCATCTTTGTGTGTATGAATTAAACTTTTTGTTTTTTTCGGATGAATAAAAAAAATGCCCCCGCATAGTCCGCCTATAGGAAGAAACGGCCCTGGGTAGCAGGCTGCAAAGAAAGACAATTATGATTTAGAAAAAAGCCATTCTTAAAGTTTATCATATCAATATAATAACATCATTTATTAGTTCATTTATATTCTGTAAAATGTAATCTGATTATGCATAGTAACTAATGTTCTCAAAAATATATACAGTAGAGTAAAAGTATATAATATTGGCATCCACAATGAGTACCTCTACGTTGTATGAAGTACAAATAAGTAATACTTTTTGCATTTATTCTTATTACAGTATTTTTTAGCAACATGTATTTATTTAAACTAATGACTTTGCTGACTCCCTTTAATTGACAAATGGAACTAAAACAATAAAAAACATATACAAAAATAAATACTATTGTGTTCTTCTGTATACAAAATCCACCCGTACCAATGGAGGAACAAAGTTAAACGTTTTTTAAACATATTCCTCCAGGGCAGCTTTTTATTGTCTGTTATGATCAGTTAAAAGCTCACCGACCCACGAGACCCCTGTGACGGGTGTCTGAGTAGGGGGTTTCCTTCCCCATTCTGGTTCTCCCGTACCCAGCCACCCGGTGGTGGTAGCTGGGGAGGTTGCATGGGTTCATGGGGGTCTTTATCTCCGTCTATCTGATCTGTGTGTGGGTGGGGGGGAACAGCAGGCGGCTCCACTGCTCCTCCAGACTCCTTGATGGTGTTCAGCCTCCTCATGGGGAGTAAAGAGCGGGATGAGGAGCGTGTAGACACATCGGAGGACTGTGGTCGGGCGGATAGGTCCACGTCAGCACCTCCATATGTCGTAAAAAAAAAGTGTCAGCATTTAAGTGTTAATTTGAACAAAAAACCTCTTTAATGGTAGACTGTATAAGAAGTGAGAGTAACTAAGTGACCTCAGCCATTGCTTTGTGGATTTTAAAGCCTACATTTTGGATTTAGCTCCGCCATGTTGTTGTATTTAACCAGATGTGACACAAGGGTGGAAAAAAGTACAAACGAATGCTGTTCAGGCAACCACAATGTAAACATTTCGTATGAACTGAAACCGTTTCTTAAAGGGTTAAAGATGTAACACGATAACGCCCAAATTGTACAAGATCAAGTGTTAAAAGCCTGTCAATCACAAGCTGGACACGCCCTCATAGCCTGCTTTGTCTTTTAGTTACTCTAAAATAACTGTGCTGTATTAAAGAAGACTTGAGACCATAAACTCATTAGGAAAATCATAATTGAGGTATTTAATCAGGTGAAAAGAGTCATTTTCTTATAGACTTCTATACAATTGGACTTATTTTGGAAACCAGTTGACTAAGAATGGTTAGGGTTAATTGATTGCTACGGTTGCTTGGTGTAAAACAGTCTATGGTATAAACTCACCATTACTTCTTCTTCTTAGTTCAAAGGCAGTCTCCAGACTACCACCAGGCTGCAGGGAGTAGTACTTTTGAGACTTGAAGGTGTTCTGTGCAGACTGGAAGAGGAGGGAGAATACATTTTAAGCAGCTATAGGCGAATAATAAAGTATTTTTGACCTCTAAAACCTACCGGTTCACGGAAACTTTCAGCACGCAGGCTGCGTCTGATGCTCGCATGGCGGCGAATCAGAATCTCCTTGGTTCGGGTGTCGTCGGGCAGATTGTATTTGTTGGTGTACGCCATCGTCTGGAAAACATGTATAAAATAGATTTGTATCCAAAGTATGATATGTCTTCTTCTGTGATATAGATCCGAAAAAAGTCACCACAAAATGCACTATTTGGTTGTGTGGCATTTGCTTAATCCATATGTTTGTGGAGTACTTTTGAAGATTTACATCTCATAGCAACAAGAGGAGAGTATTGAAAACAAAAAGTGCTTAGTGACAGACTAACACTTTCGTCATAGAAAAGAAAAATCTGGAATAATAGTCATTATAGTTCGGAAGCGACAAAATGTGCACATGTTATTTCAGGTAAAGGAATACAAATATGCATAGAACATTTTAAGTGGTATTGAATCAACACAGCCTTAATGTCTTTAGAAATGTTTCTCTGCAGTTGTACTTACCTTCTGTCTGATCTTGTACATGTTCTTTGACAGGATGTCGTGCATTTTCCTCACGTCACCAGCCAGGAACTTCCTCTTAGGCCGAGACGCTTCCTTCCTCTCGTCGCTGACAGAAGGAGGAGAGAGCAATAGACAGTGAATGCTGCTGAAATGTAAAATCCATCCATTAAGATGGGCAATTGGGATAATATTCATCTAATGGGAGAAACAGAAGATCAGCAATTAGATTTAGTTTTATGCATTAAGCTGATGCGGTTATGGATAAAACGTTTAGCTACCTTACAGCAAGATATTACATATGTTTTAGTAATAAATGACATTGTTGAACATACTACAGAGAGACGATGGATGGCGCTGCACTGAGGTCTCCCATTGGTGAGTCCAGTAACCCAATGGCGTTCTGCAGCTCCAATCGCTTGTACAGAGCCACGATGCTGGACTCAGCCCGGTTGTCTCGGACCAGGATGCGCCTCAAAACACGGTCATTGAACTTCTTAAACCTTACAAAAGACAAAGAAAAGAAAACCGCCAACATGTATGTGGATGAGACCCAAATAAATACTCAATATAAATTCAAATAGTCGGTATTGAATAAATCCTACTTGTCTTTCCAGTAATAATGGCTCCATTGTCCACAAAGGTCCTCAATACCACAAACAACGTGCTCCATCATCTGCATGAAACATAAAGGTAGGCTCATTAAAACATGGGGTGTTTGACAGAATGAAAAATATGAATTTAAATATTTTAAAGGAAAATACTTGCCCTGGAATGAACCTCTACGTTGATGGTGTTCAGGTCTTTGTTGGTTTTCCGGATGTTCATATATTCTACTATGGGACGGATGCTGATGCCCTGAAATCGTTTTTTTAAAACAACAATAAAAAACTATTCTCTGCACTTATGTTTGGTGCTTAGTGTGTCATCAAAGACTGTATGAAAGAGATTTTCCTCCAAAAAATGGTGACTGTCAGAGAATATTTTAATCCGATCTGTGTATTTAGAGGTTCTCAGTCTTTCTGAGAAACTGTTAATCACAAAGATATGCTTTTCGTTAAACCGCATATACTCCTGCCTGTAATGTGATCCTGCGTGTAACCTCAGGAGGACACGGGTCAAGAGGTCATCTGACTTCCTGTGGGGGTGAGGGGTTTGGGCACATGAGGAGTTGCAATACAAAGGTGCCTTTGTTCCGATGTCTGGTAATGGTTGGGGGAGAGGCGGGAATATAGGTCCCTCCTCTTTTCATGTATAGATCTGTGTTTCTGTCTCCTTTGTCTTCAGAGTTGATTTGGTTGCTTTGCATGAAAGTGTGAATTTACCTTGTGAACTCTCCGGCTGTATTCTCTCTCAATAAATAAAGACGATCCAGCTTCCATCATTTCCTTTGCATTGCTGCACAGAAGTTTTCATCACAAATTTGCGTCACGAACAGAATACCAAAAGATCTTCAGAACTGGTAAGTGTAATTTCAAATCTATATTTGGACATTGCCTTACCAGAATCTGTGATTGACGGTATCATAAAATTACCTGTGAAAATGAGCGGCTGCATTTTTTTTTTTGGTTTCTCTACTCTTTAGCCTACATCTGGGGGTTTAATCATAACCTGGGGAATCGGTGTCAAATGGGGATTCTGTCCTGGCCGATTTTCCCTGTGATTGCTGCTGGGGCATGTGCCTACAGAGCAAGCACAGCTCATGTAAAAAACAATAAGAATATTTGGGGCTAATAATAACCTAGGAATATCGATTTTGACCGATTTCCTCTGTGTGTGTTTCTTGGAATTAAATTACCAGACAATTACACACAGCAAATATTCGGAGAGACCTTAAAGAGAGCATCAGTAAAGTGGACTTCTGCATTAGGAGAAATGTGATAGATTTGTATTGAAACGAATTGCCGAATTCTGGAGATTTCAGCGGTCAACTGGTTAAATCAACTCGCCTCGAATCTGCCTGTTGCTGCTGCACGGGTGTGTGTGTGATTACACCCCCCACTGCGGGGAGCCGCAGGCGAAGAGAAAAAAAGCACAGAGTGTCATATATCTTTTCCTCACACCATTGCCGATTTGGAACTAAACAAAACGGTCTAAAAGCATTTATTTTGTCTGCGACCGTTTTCTACTATTTTGCTGGCAAAACTGGGGCAGACAACTAAGTGCGTGCGTCGCCTGGCGCGCCGCAGTTTCCTACTTGCTGGAGAAACTGGGCGCCTTCCCGGGATGCACACATCAGAATAGGTTAATTGGTCATTAATGTGAAGGGTGGTACGCGAGTATGTGACATAGCGCTGTGTTTTCATCGTTGTAAATGAACAGATGAGTTGTTACATTTGGCTATTATTGGAAGAAAGGGTACTGGATACATTAAAAGTCTATGCTCTCCGGACGGGACGGGCAAAGCACCACTAAATTAGCATAGTGGTTGTTGATTGAGAATAAATTAGTTATTGCTCTTCAACAGATTCCGTTCTTAGCACTTGTACAAGTATATATGAGTAAGAAGGCACTCATATTAAACAGATATTTCCCTACCCCCTCTGAAATCTCCCTAATTCAGATTAAATTAAATTGGATGAGTTTTGCTGTCACGCTGATGTTTGTTGCGAGTTCATGTTTGTTTGTCTAATTGCAGTGTTTGTTTTATTGTACTAACCGTTAAACATGGGTAATACTGTCTCCACAAACGATTCAGTTGGTAAGAGGAAAACGAATTCACGCACCAACACACCTTCTAAAAATCCTATTACAGACAGCCACTACACTCACATGTTTTCCCCTAATATGCCGTCTGGAATTGTCGGAAGAAGCTTGGATTGGTCTAAAGTTATGCCGTTTACCTCGTTACTTTGTGAACACTCACAACAGAATAATCAGAAAGGGAAGATTCAATTTGATTGGCCTTTAACCGGTACGTTTGACATGACCGTGTTGTGGCAGGCATTTAAACTTGTTGAAAATGATCCGAACCCCTGCTGGGACATAGGATATATGAAAGAATGTGTTAAAGCTTGGATGTCTATTGCAGAGAAAAGAGGATATAATGAGCGAAAGAATGAAAAATCTGTTGGCACCGAGCGAGGCTCCATTGAGCTCAAAGCGTTGATTGATAGGGTTTCTAAATGTGCGGCGAGTTGTCATTTGCTTAGCCTAGCTTTGATGTTAAATCAGAGAACATGTCCAGAATTAAGGAAAGACACGGAAAATATGTTGCAGCCATTGCTAAATCAGTGATGTACGATTGGTTGAAAAGACAAGGGAAGTCTCCCAGCCCGTCTCAGCTCATTTGCATTTTAACAGACGCTGGGCTGCTGGAAGAAAAGCAGGCTGTATCTCTCCGTACAAAAATAATCCCCGCGACAGAACTATCAAATCGCGTTGCGAGAAACTCCGATGATGATCTGTTAATGACAGCTGCAGCTATCATGAATGAAAATGGGTTGAGATATCAGCCAGGACATTATAGAGAACTAGATTTAGGACAGCAGGAGCAGAGTGCAGCGGAGGGTGAAGGGGATTCTTCAGACAGCAGCCTGTTGCGAACCCCCTCTCCTCGTACTCCGCCACTCCGTTTACACGATTACCCAGGGACGCCGTACGGCAGCAGTTTTCCAAAGACTGTCCAGCGTACAATGATCACGAGAATGCAAACATCTCAGAATAATAATTCTGCTGAAACTGTGACCGCCCCGAAAATTCTGATAGGAGAGGTTCCAGTTTTTAAGCCATGGACACCCGCTGAGGTCATTGATGTCACTAATCACGCTCCCAGTCCCACTAAAAGCCCCGATGAGTATCTGTCGTGGTTGACTAATGTCTGCTCGGTTTATAACTGTTTGGTTCATGATGTTAAACAGCTGATAATCCTAACATACAAGGCAGATTGGCCCACGTGCAGAGACAAGTTTAAATTTCCTGAGTGTACGCCTGCAGGTGATTGGCCTCCGGCACAGACTTGCGATATGTGGATTCAAAACGTCGCTGCTTTGGCTATTAGAGCATGCGCTAAGACTCACACATATTTTTCCCAAGTGATGGCTTGCGTACAGAACCCAACAGAAACTGTCCCAGAATTTATCCAGCGTTTCATGACAGTGTGGGATATAATGCAGGCATTAAAAGGGAGGGCAATGATTTGTTCGCCATACAGAGCTTGTTACATAATTTAATCCCAGAGACAGCTCAAGCCTACATGATGGCGACTCCTGACTGGCAAGTTAAAACCTGGAAACTCACGATAGCCACAATGCGTGCCCTGCATAGGAGCCAGATATTTCTGACCCCCAGAATTGCCCAGCTGCTGCAACAATTGCCTCAAAATACACAGGCTTATCAGGGTGCGGATAACTCCCAGCAGTTTCAGGGACAACACCGCACACAGCAGTATCAAAATCAGGGAACATCACAAGGTTATCAAAACAAGAGCAGACAGCAGCAGAAAAAAAAATCCAAAAAGTTGATGCCATGTCATGTTTGCGGTGCAACGGACCACTGGGCGGGGCAGTGCGAAAAGCGATGGGGGGCTCAGCAGAACACACAATCCTTGCCTGCTCTTCTCCAGCCCCCCCGGCATCCTGCATTATTGCCGCCCCCACACTATGACAGACAGGCTCAACATGGGCAAAACGGTCAGCAAAGTGGATTTAATAGAAGATAGGGGTACCATGGAGAAATAGGATCAGATTCACAGCATTTCCCCATTCAAGCAGCAACAATTCGCCTTTCCAATAACCCGCGTGAAGATCCGATTATGCCCGTTGATTTGAGTGGTACGGCTGTAGATATTTTGATTGACAGTGGAGCCACCTTGTCTACAGTACGTACTAAGGAGAAAGTCTGTGAAGCAACTAATGATTTTGTTACAACAATGGGCGTTTCTGGCATTCCTATGTCCGAGCCCATTTCAGAGAGTACTAATGTTTCAATCGAAGGGTCAAATGTGCAACACTCTTTCATTATTTCAGATGGAAGTCCTATTAATGTAATGGGCAGAGACTTACTTTGTAAGTTACAGGCAACAATACATTGCACTCCAGATGGATTGTTTTTGACTATTCCTGACAGCAAAGTCTATCAAGCTGTCCAATTCATTCAATCATCTCAAGACAACCTTTATTGTTGGTCATTTCCAGATTTCAACATGATTTCTGTTTTCTCCACAACAGGGATTCAGAAAATTGCTAGCATTTCCCCTGTGTGTGCTTCTTTAATGTCTCTTATGCGGCCGGTGTTGAATTGTCACTGCACAGCTGCTTTTAACCCGTCAGATGACTATGCGCTATCAGTAAGAGGTTTTTGCAGCAGCTCAGATCAGTTGGAATGCGAGCAGTTTCTATTTTTAGGACCCCAGGGGTGCGCATTGCCGGTTAGGCTCACACCCCCACAGCAGGGCCTTCATGTTGGAAAAACTACCCCTCACGTCACACTAGCCAACACACTAGCTGTCACTCCAGGCAGTAGTCCTAAGGAGGTGGGGGCTATGGCAGCCCACTGCCATGCTCAGCTGGGAGCTGCAACAGCTTCTCTCCCTCACACACACACACCTAATCTAATTAACCTTGGAGAGGAGCATTACATGCTGCGTCTCGCTGAACCAATTTCTCTCCCCCAAAGCACATTTCTTCACTTACAACCACCTGTTCTCACAGAATATGGACCCCCTTCGGACTTCTCTGAGGTTCCAGGCACATTATGGGCCAAGCACAAGAATCATGTTGGATTTGTTATTTCAGCCCCTCCACACAGAGTGACACTTAAAGCCAATGCCAGATTGCCAGCTATCAGACAGTACAATTTACCCCATAGAGCCATTTTGGGAATTGAAGGAGTCATCCAATCTCTGCTCGATCAGGGCGTATTAATCTACACGACCAGTCCGTGTAATACTC